GTTGCAGTTACATGGATCTAGTTGGGAGGATCACCTTGGTTGGATGATTAATAACTGGAAAGGTAAGTCCCTGCTGATTCATGTTCTAAAATTAGCATGGACTGGATTCGTTTACTTTACTTGGGAGGAGCGGAATCATCGTATCTTTAGAGGTTTATCGCGTTCGACGGATTTAATTGTAAATATTATAAAAGAGGCAGTTAGAATTAAATTGTATAGACATAGAATGAATAGAGTGGATAGTGTAAATAGACAACTTTGCATTGATTGGGGGCTTACATAACTGGTTGTAATTGTTTTCTTTGTAGCAGTTTCCTGCTTTCTTTGGATTAATAAAATTGATTATCCAAAAAAAAAAAATAGGTAACATCATATTCACATCAAATGATGGAAAAAGCAAGTAAAACCATTCTAGTAACATTTTATTTTTATCCATAGATAATCATATAAACAATACATTTTAAGGGGAAAAACATGAATAATTAGATGTGTTTTCGCATATGTGACACTTAAACCTAAAGTTATGTATCATATTACAATTAATGGCATACGATCACAATATTTAAATTGCATCTTCAATTGTATTATCTTATATGCATAAAAGTCCCAACAAAAAGAATTTACAAATTAACTTGCAAATGTCATTAATTTTAAATGAAGTATGTCTTGTTTGGAATGGTGAATTAAAACAAACAACTACATCATTTAATCATGGAACTTATATTCAGTTTTTATAACTAAGTATTAATTATAAAAAAAATTTTATAATGATAACCTAGTGTAGTCTATTTTTGTTGATTATAATCCCTTAATTTTCGTACAACATCATAACCATTCATGGGATTTAAATAAACCGATTTAACGCAGAGTTTAACATCAAAATTACCAAATAGGCACATGATGCATTTTCGATACGTAATTACACAAGTCAAACACGAGTCAGGCTGCGAAAGAGACACGTGTGTTTTAGTCTTATGTTCCAATACCCAATAAATACATGTTTAAAATGTTATATTCAAACATTTGAACACTCACGTGTCTAAACAATGCAACATTTGAAAACTCACGTGAGCTCCTCAAATCCTATGATATTTAGATATATGAGTTTTCAAGTATTTAAGTATAACTTTACATTTAATGTTCGTTTATTGTTCATTTATATGTCCAATTTTTAGTTTTACCCTTTTATTTGTAAGATAAAGAAAAAACAATAAAATTATTCTATTAGTGCTTAAATTCTTTAAAATTCATAATTTTAATTTTAATTTTTACTATGTGTTCAAATTAGTCTTTACCTTCACTAATATTTAAAATGTAAAAAAATAAAAAGAAAAACCGATAAATGAGATTATTCATGAACATAAATGAACAAGTTAATAAACGAGTTTACAAACGAACCAAGCACACCTCTATTCGTGTCCGTTCACTTATTAATCGAATATAAAAAATTTATTCATAATCATTTATTTAACTTAATAAACGAATGTTATACTAACGGTTTGTTTACAGAATAATCATTTACTCATTTGAAGACTGGTGACCTAAAAATGAAAGATGGAAAGGGCGAAGGAAGAAAGAGGACGTGATGATGACACAAGGATGAGATGTGCAAGAGGGGATGGTGGATGGGTGGGGGCTGATATCCTGACCTGAGCTGTACGGAAGCTGATGTCCCCATCCCATCAATTTAGTACATTTTCATTTCACATTTTTCTTTCTAAGTCCCTCCCACATCACATGGGACCATTTCTTCAAACCCCCAAAATATTGTTACTAACAACTAAAGTTCCAGACCTTTAAGTCTCGGAGTTTAACATTAATTTTATTTTAATTTATATGACATCATTTATTCTAACTACTAAATCATCATAAACAAAGTATTAACAAAACCCAATTCGGGGTTAACTGCTCAATTACATTATGTCCAAATAAAAAGATTATATTATAATTAAGGGTAAACTACACATTTAATACATAAATTATCCGTTTTAATATATTAACTTTCAAAATTTTCAAAATCATATCTAATTTTTAGGGTTTAGGGTAAACTACGCATTTAGTACCTAAACTATCGGTTTTAGTCTGTTTTAGTACCTAAACTTTCAATTTTTTTAAAATCATACCCAACGTTTAGTTTTCATTTCATTTTCGTACCACACCATTAAAAACTTAATGCGTTTAGTGCATAAACTATCAATTCCTTTCTGTTTTAGTAGCTAAACTTTCGGTTTTTTCTTCAAAACTTAACGTTAAATTTGGAACGGATGTACTAAAATTAAACAAAAACCAAGGCTTTTAACGACGGGTACTAAAATGAAATAAAAAGTTAAAAACTAAACTTTAGATATAATCTTAAAAAATTGAAAATTTAGATACTAAAACTTGTCAAAATTGATTGTTTAGGTAATAAATACGTAATATACCCTATAATTAATTGTAGTAAACATTGATCAAATACTGGGGAGGCAGGCCGCTATTTAAGTTGAGAACAGTGTATGTTTAAGTCCTCCAAATCCAATAGTTGAGATTTGGGCTCAACATATTTATGGTTATAAGCCAATACCCAAACCATCACAAATCTACATGTAGATCCACACCCACAGACGAAATCAATCCCAATAAGCATCGAATGCTCCCATATTAAAATATGCCAAAGACAATACATTTTGTTGTTATGAAACTATGATTCATTGGTATGGTGGTATTTGACAGTGATATTTGTTGCCAATGAAGTGTATTTCCCATTTGTTCCTCAACTTTTCTGCACCATGCAAATACATGAATTGGTCCTATGTACACCATTGGATTGTTTAATCTTCGATGTTGTGTTACATGAGGTTTTGACAGGCCAAAGATCGATGGACAAGAAGCCGCCTAGTGGCGAGCATAATCTTGTCACTTGGGCTCATTTTTGTTGTGTCATATGCCTCTGGTGGTTTCTATTGAATGCATGACCCAAGTACCTGATAATGAGAGACAAAAAGCCCACACGGAGGGGACCCTGTTTTTATTTTATGGGCTTTCATGGGATTGGAGTTCATTTTTAAAGAGGAGTGAACGTCGTGAATAATTTCTAGAGTAGGTAACTAAAAGCTTTCATTGATACAGTCTTTTTCTTTTAAGTTGTGAGTTCGTTACCTATTAGCACCAAAATTCCCCTTATCCATTTATTTGGTAGGAATTGTTAAAAACAAGAGTCAAAGGCGATCAAAATTGAAGTTCCGCGTGACCAAATAGTATTAGGTTAGTCAACTTAACGTGTCGTATCAATATTTTGTTATCTTAATAATGACAATTAATGATTGAATAATCGATTTGTTATAAATTGATAACGTTAATAATTAAGTCGTTATTCTGAAATATTAATTGAGAAAAAAAAACTTACTCAAATTTCAGCCCACTATCTAGTTGGGGTAAAATACACAAATGGTCCCTCAATTATAAGATTTTATTTTATTAAGTCCCTTGACTACTCAAAGTTACAAAATGGTCTATTGACTATTAAAAGTTATAAAATAGTCAACCGACGATTCATTATGGTCCAAACTTGTCATTATTCGTTAAAAATTTGACGATTGTCTGATCTGTACGTTAGCTTACGAACTGGGATATGATAAAATTTGATCTTATAATCTCAAACGATTATCACATCTCAAATCAACATGTTAGCGTCCAACTCAAAAGATCGTTTGTTTTTAACGGAAAATGATTAGTTTGGAACATAATGAATAGTCGAGTGACCATTTTGTAACTTTTAATAGTCTAGGGACCCAATAAAATAACTCTCTATAGTAGACCATTGACTATTTTGTAACTTTTAATAATAAAGGGACTTAATAAAATAATATCCTATAAACTTACCTATCTAGTTTATACTAAGTTTAGCCTTCAAATAAATACAGTCCATATAATTACTCCACGCGCTAGTCTCCAACACACAACACCACCCAATGAACCACGCTTAAATGCCATTTCTAGTGGGACCCGTGGAGCGTGAGTTAACAAATTCGCCTTAGTAGAAAAAAGGTAAACTATACGTCAAGTACCTCAACTGTCACGTTTCTTCTGTTTTTTTCATCTAATTATAATTTTTAAATCATACTTGACATTTCATTTTATATTCATATTTTAGTCATCTACCGTTAAAAAATTAACAAAACTGTTGATATGAAATTAAAAAAAAAAAATCAATGATAATATGACATTATATTATGATAACAAATTAATATTTCGTTATCTTAGTAACGCTTGTTAACTACAGAATGACCGAGTTATTATAAATTAATAGCAATTAAATCATTACTTTAAAATATCAATGGAAAAAAGAAGCATACTTAGTGACCGTTATTTATAGTAAGTTTACCTTTCAAAATAAATACATTCTATATAATTTCTCCACGCGCTTGTCTGCTAACACAAAAACAACACCCAATCAAACCACTCTTAAAGGCCATTTCTTGTGGGATCCGTAGAGCGTGTGTTAACACATTCGCCTAAGCAACTTAATTTACATAATTTTTAGTGAGAAAAAGGTAAACTGCAAGTTTAGTACCTTATCTACCACTTTTATTCCGTTTTATCACCCAACTATTATTATTTTTAAAATTATGCCAAACATTTCAATTTTGGTTTCATTTTAGTCACATACCGTAAAAAATTAATAAAACAATTGATTTGACATTTTAAAAAATTAATGATGATGTGATATTATCTTACAATGATACGTGAATATCACCGTTAAGTTTTTGACGGTGAGTGATCAAAATGAAATCAAAATGTAACGGAAAAAAAGTTGGATGACTAAATCTGAATAAAAAGTAATAGTTGAGGTGCTAAATATGTATTTTATTTAAAAATATGAATTAGGACCCTACTAACACTAATGACTTTCTTTCCTATTGTATTAAAACCGTATTTTCTCCCTTACTTTTTTTTCTCCCAATTCTGATATGAATAAAAAAAAAAAAAGTTTTGATTACGGTAGTTGTAAGATCTTCACTTTGGTGTCAGAATCCCTACCCAGAATCAGACATAAGAGATAGAAGACAAACAAAAGCGCCTCCATTGTTTCGACTCTCTTGTAGCTTCTTCAAACTCATATTTTGAGCAAAGATCTGAAAGCCATATCACTGAAAATTGAAAACATAAAAAAACAGCTTTTTTATTTTAAATTTTTGGGCCTTTCCAGTTTCTTCCAAGGTATCATCCTGCTCTCTGTGTTTTTTTTAGTTCTTTGTTCTGGGTAATATTTCTAGGTTCTGAAGTTTATTTTTCAAGTAGTTAAGTGTTCCATTGTTCTGTTCTACTGTTCATATAAGCCACGAAGGTTTGCTCTTTTACTGATATATTTTTTGAAACAATAGATTCTGGGTTTTGTTTCTTTAGCTGGATTGTTCGATTACCTGAATACTTTTTCCTTTCGTTCTTTGTGCTTTTTGTTTGTTTAGTGGGAACTTGGGGTCTTAATTAAGAACTTGTACTTCAGATCCAACTGAGTGCAAAAATGTGGTAGCTGAGTTCAGAATCGTGCCCTTTGCTTGTTCATGCCATGATTTTCATTTAAAAGTTCTTTTAAATGTTCAATTTTAAGATTTTTTCCTTTGCAATCTAGAAGCTAATTGTATTTATCATTGTCATACAGTGTTGAGGTTTTTTTTTTTTTGATTATCGTGTCGTGAGGGATATTCTTGGTGCCATAGGACTCTTATGCCGATAGCAATCTAATCATGGATAAGGTGTCTCCGAATTGTCCATACCCGGGGTGCTTTTTCTGTGTTATGAAAGAAGGGAACCCTAGTAAGCGCAGAGCCAGTATTCTGAAATTCTTCAGAGATCTTCCTTCACAAGATGATGATGGTCAGGTTCTTCCCATCAGTGGCCTTTGGAATACTGCCATGGCACATCCTAATGATCCCGAATTCATCGAGTTGGGGATTTTCGAGTGCATGGCTGCACTGATCTGGAAAGGTCTCAAGAACCGTCGCTGGCTTTCTCACGACCAAAATATATATATTCCTTATTACGCGGCACATATTATCGGATCCTACACCATGAACATGGAAGAGTTTGCAGAAACCGCTGTGCATGCTGGTATAATTCCTCCCTTAGTTGAGCTTCTGAGAGGGAGGCTGACTTGGGTTGAACAAAGAGTGGCAGTTCGAGCCCTAGGACACTTGGCTACATATTCAAGCACTTTTCCTGCTGTAGCAAGTCATGGAGAAATTCTCGAGCTCTCCATTCAGCTTGCAATGAGTTCACTTGAAAAAGTTTACTCTCACTTTTATCAGAATGTTGATAGAAGGCTAAGTTATCACTGTGATCTGCTTACTCGTGGTATGGGTGGTGTTGAAATGGAGTCGAGGAAAGCTGAAGAATGGGCAAGTCAGCTGCAATGCTGGTCCCTTCAACTCATTAATTGCTTCGCTTTCAAGCCTGAGTATCTTCCCACCATATGCAAACCCGAATTTCTCGTAAAACTACCGGGAATGTGGGGTGGACTCGTAAATGAAAACTCACCAGCTGGTATTGGTTTGTTAAGAACCATCTGCCACCATAAGCTTGGTAGGGGACCTGTTGCAAGCTGTCCAGGTATTATTGAGGCATTGTGTAATATTGCTTGCTCGTCTGATGATTGGCAGTACATGGCTATCGATTGTCTTCTTTGGTTGCTTCAAGATCCAAGTACATGCCATAAGGTATATTCCTCTCGTATCTGGGTGAGAAACTTTATATCTATTTGAACAAGGAAAGCTAGAGCTCTATGCTCAAGCTTTCATATGACGAATAAGTTTTAAGATGTTGATGCAATGATCTTTGAAATAGTTTACCTCCACGAGAAATTTCGCCATGTGTACTTGTTTGGATTTTATTTTTGAAGTTATGATATTAATCATATTATCCATAAAACCCATCATATATGTTATACAGGTGATAGATAAGGCAGTACCTGCCCTCGTAGACCTAGCGGAGATTACGGCTCTGGGTGATCACAAGAAACTTGGAGATTCCATTGTTAATGTTCTTCAGGAATGCATTCAATCACAAGGGACAAGACATGGCTCTCTTAGTAACCGTACGAAAGAACTGATTGAAGAAATATTGACTTCGAGGCAAAGATTGAAGTGGGAAAAGAATATGCCAAAGGAGGATCTCCATATTAAACAGGCTGCTGCTTTAGTGGTCAAGCTTGAAGGGAACTCGCTTTTCTCGTCGGGAAATATATCTGGAGCAGCATCAAAATACTCGGAAGCAATATCGTTGTGTCCAACGAGATCCAAGAAGGAGAGAGTTGTTCTGTACAGTAATCGTGCTCAGTGTCATCTCCTATTGCAGCAACCCTTGGCTGCCATAAGTGATGCTACACGTGCACTGTGTCTTCACAATCCAGTTAACCGTCATGCCAAAAGCTTGTGGAGAAGAGCTCAGGCTTATGACATGCTTGGTTTAGCTAAAGAGAGCTTGCTCGATGCCATTCTATTCATAAATGAATGCTCTCAGTCAAACGACCCAGATCTCACGCTGAGGCAAAATAAGGTTCCCGACTATGCTGAACGATTAGTCAAGAAGCAAATGCGTGCAGCTTGGTTATTTAGAGAGTCGGCTGTTAAACTTGGGGGTGTTCATTGTGACGGTGAAGCAGGTGACATGTACGGACCGGATACAGATGACTCAGAATGGGAGACAGCTAGTGAAAGTGATGAAGGAAATGGCGGAAGGGCTGAAATGGGTGATGACAACGATGACGATGATAGCGAATGGAAGAATGAAGATGAGGGGGAAGATAAATATGAAAAACCCACAATGAAAGGTAAAATTGAACATTTTAATGTTCCACAACGTTTTAATGCATTTCTACATGTTTGGTGTTATTATATCTGTTCCCCGACACCTATTTCCGACATTTATCTAGACATGTTACAAGGACATGACCCTGTTAGAACCCCCAAAACATCTAAACATGTCACGAGTTTATAGCGCGTGCAGTTTCATCCCATCCCATATCTTCGAATCAAAGTTTGAGGTGCAGAAGAGTTGTAGTGTGCAATCAAACTAATACCATATCAGGAAACTTTTAGGCACCTGTAATAAGCAATTTTTATGGTTTTATCACTTTTTAAGGGTTTGAGGGGTCAATAAATGCCTACTACTGGATGATCACTTCGGATGTTTTTGTATGTTTAAATTGTGCCACCTCGAGCTATGACGAGTGTAGTTTGCATTATTCTCGAACTTGATTAGCTTGCAAGCCGTATGTTGCTTTTAGCTTTTAATCTGTATCAACGCATTAGTTCCTCGAATTCTACTGAGATAAATCACGTGTTCAACATGCAGCTCGCTGAAGATGGACCAGTAAATGTTTGAACAAACACTCGGCATGCAAAACATGAACATTCGGCTTGTCTTTGGTTTAAAAAGGTAAAACATGTTTTACAAGCATTCTTTTATGTGATTTCTTCGTGTGATTTTCACTTGTAGAAAGTGAATACAGATTTTGAGTGTAGAGAACAATTGTGTCCAAGGGTGTGATAGCTTTCATGTTATGTTATCTGGACTTAGAGATGACCGTTGGATTCGAGTATGTATTCGATACAAATATGCTTATTTTTTAAAATTATTCATAGTTGGATCTTTCTATCCTACTGTTCGTCCTGTTACACTATAAAATGCGTAATCTTAAAAACTCTTACCACTTAAAGTGATGAGAGTTTTCAAGATTACACATTCATAGTAAAGCGAAAACATAATTTGACTTATTAGATTTAGGTCTTCCACGGAAGCTGCTCTTAACCATGCGTTGGGGGCAGCCTATTACTCTACCTCCCCTTTACCCCATTGCATATGGGAATAGGGTTTTGTTGTTGTTGTTGTTTAGATTAAGATTAAAAATTTTAAAATATAAAGTTTAAAAATGAGAAAATTAGAATGGGATTAAATCCATAACTAATTTGACCTTTATCTTTAGCGAATCATACAAAATATATTTAAAGAAGGATGCTGATGTATTTACATGCATTTATAAAACGCTTAAATATACAAAAGTGAGAGTAAACTATTTCCAGTGAGCTCATTGCAAGCTGAATGGAGAGCTAGAGAATTTCTCCATGACTTGCTACAGCATAAAAGTGCTTGAATATGTAGCCAAGTGTCCTAGGGCTCTAACTGCCACTCTTTGTTCAACCCAAGTCAGCCGCCCTCTCAGAAGCTCAACCAAGGGAGGAATTATACCAGCATGCACAGCGGTTTCTGCAAACTATTCCATGTTCATGGTGTAGGATCCAATAATATGTGCCGCGTAATAAGGAATATATATATTTTAGTCGTGAGAAAGCCAGCGAAGATTCTTGAGACCTTTCCAGATCAGTGCAGCCATGCACTCGAAAATTCCCAACTCGATGAATTCAGGATTGTTAGGATGTGCCATGGCAGTATTCCAAAGGCCACTGATGGGAAGAACCTGACCATCATCATCTTGTAAAGGAAGATATCTAAAGAATTTCATAATACTGGCTATGCGCTTACTAGGTTTCCTTCTTTCATAACACAGAAAAAGCACCCCAGGTATGGACAATTCGGAGATACCTTATCAATGTTTAGATTGTTATCGGCTTAAGAGTCCTATGGCACCAAGAATATCCCTCACGACACGAGAACCATAAAAAAAGCCTTGACACTATGAAAATGATAAATATAATTAGCATCTAGGTTGCAAAGGAAGAAATCTTAAAAAATGAACAATTAAAAGAACTTTTTTTTTATAGAAGTTGGAGGTCTCATTAAAAACTCCCTTCGTATTATTCCACATACTTAGAAGTATGTTGAAGAACATTTGAAGGAAGAAAAGAGTGCCTCATATTTTATTAAACATAATACCAAGTACATATGGTAACATCGAACCCTCATACAGGAATAAAAGCCATTACAAAAATCATATCACTTAAAAATCTTTCAGCTTCGAACAAAAAGCCCCTAAGACAATAACCTTATTTCTGAAATACACCTGAAGATGAAAGATAACATAGCAAAATAAAAACCAATAATTACAACCACAAACTAAAAAAAACGCCTTTGAATGCAACTGCCAAAAAAGTCACGACCCAATTGGAGGAACAAACTCTAGTGAAACATCGCAATCTTCAGGGACCCAAGAATTAGGTTTGAAAGAAGGCTCAACTTCATGCACCAATATATTGAATAAATTTGCATCGACCTTCAACTCCAACATCTCATCAATTCTCCCTTGGGCTTTCGTGAGTATTTGAATTTTAGCTCGATCAAAAGACGTTGGAAACTCACAACTGTTGTCTATTGCTATTAACTTGCCCCACTTAGTTGCAATGTTTTTGAAGGTATCCCAATTCCAAGCATGGAAAGGAATACGTTCGCAAACTACCTACACACTACGGCACTCCACCACTAGGCTATCCGACCAAGTTTCCACCCTGGAAAACCACTCTGCTAGAAGCTCTAACTTATCATCCTTCACGCTTCTCAATAAAACAGAGTCTTGAAAAACCAATAAAACTACATTACCAATAGCTCTCATTAGCGTGAAACCAACTAGTCCTTTGGCTTGTATTTGGTTAGCAAGATTACAAATCTTGATAAATTTCTTGCACCACCCCACAAGACAATTACTCAACACGTCAAGTTTATCTTCGTCCACAACGCCCTCAACTTCACAGTATTTAATCCTCGAAATATCTTCCGACCCAGACTTACATTGAACAACTGTCGAGGACTTTCGCCAGTAAGACTGTCGGGGTTTATATTTAGCCAAAGAGACTCTAATTTTACTGCCATAAATAAGATTACCATTCATCATTGAAATCGATATCCTTGCTTCTTCAATTGTAGCATAGCGAATAAACCCAAAGCGAACCCCATTCGAGTTCCTCTTTTTAAGAATGAAGGCATCAATAACTTGACCGTGTGTGCCAAAAAAATCCAAGTCTCTTCCAATGTAACTTCTCCGGTAGGTTCTCAATGAATAGCGTAACGCATCCACTTCTATACCCATTACTACCATTTGTATGACCATCCTTCCTCCAATTTTGAAATCCATTTATTCTCCTTCTCGTTACTTCAGAATATTTATCTTTGAACTGCCCCTTCGTGGTTATCCCCCTGGTTCCAATGTGATCTACAACAACAGCAGAAAGAACGGGTGTTGCTTCAACTAACGAAAGCCTCTCAATCCTATCATTCCCACCTTGCGAAGGAGACATACCACTATAATCAATCCTAACAGCAGGTGATTGCAAATCTAATGTTCCTTTACCATAACATTTTTCCAGAGAACTAGTTGAAAGAAGTTGTTCACCCGACCTCGCAGAAACGACTCTTACATTTTGCTGATTTTGGTGGGAAGGAGAGTGCCTGTAGGTAGTGTCGTCCGGCTCAACTGTCCAACCTGCCTCTCGGGCCAAGGCTGCCAGAACATCATTCATATCAGAGCGCACAGGAAGAGGGAAATTACCGTATTTCCTCAATCCGGCCAGCATGCGTCTGGTGAAAGCTCGCCTATTCCGTTTCCAAAGCTTTGTCCTCTCCTTTTCAATCTTCCTGTCACGTTTTTCTTTATCGGAATATGAAGAAATGGCTACACCGTCGAATCCAGAGGGAGTACTAGTGTGACTCACAGAGGTTGCACCTACCGCAGCTGATGCGGAGAGCTCTCGAGTTCGCCTGGTCTGAGACGGGGGTTGTGGATCTATGGTGAAATCAGGACAAAAACGGAAAGATGGAGGATAGGGTAATATCTTGCCGAACCAGTTCACTAGTTCTGGTCGTTAGAAGACGCTGTGCCCAGTGGAGAGGCGGTGTCACGCTCGGACGGCGGGAAGCGGCTTTAGTCGGCAGTGGACTTCGTTGAGATCTGTGTTGATAGAATGACCCTATCGCAAATCTAAGACCAGAAATGAACTCACCGTAAGCCGTCAATCTTCCCAGAACAAAACGACTTCAAACGGTGATCGGAGTGTGGCGGCGGACGGTTGACGGCGACGGCGGGTTGCGGACGACGACGGCGGACAACAGGTGGATGTCGGAGGAGGAGAAGAAAAATATTCCTGTCTTCTCTATAGTTAACGTTTTTACTTTGTGGTGGTTCCCAATTAAAAGAACTTTTAAACACATGGAATATCCGAGTATAAGGACAATCCAAATACATGGAAGAACCTTCAAAAGTTTAAACATACCTGTGTCTAACACTCACACCCGAGTCCAAGTAAAAAAGCTTATTGCCTAGTCGATCGAACATCCCCCATCGGAAAAGTAATACACGAGACAGAATATGTATACTAAAACACTCCTTGAGTGGAAAATATTTTATTTTTCTTTCCACTGGTTTCCCTCAAGTAAGCATTTGTATTCAGTTCCAATATCAACTAAAAGAAGACCAAAAAGAATTGAATAAAGTCAAAATGATCCCATTACTTCTCTAATGCCTATGCTAACAAATACAAGGAACGAAATGAAGATCATTGCATGAACAAGCAAAGGGCATCATTCTGAACTCAACTACCACATTTTGCACTCAATTGGATATGAAGTACAAGTTTTTTTAACAATATTAATCGCACATTCCCATTAACGAACAAAAAGCACAAAGAAAGGAACCCATAATATATTGTTTCAAAAAAAATATTAGTAAAAGCCAAACTTTCGTGGCATATATGAACAGTACAACACAACAATTGAACACTGAACTACTTGAAAAATAAACTTCAGAACCTAGGGAAAATACCCAGAAATAAGAATTCAAAAAAAAAAAAAAACAAGATCATACCTTGTAAGAATCTAAAAAGCTTTCAATTCTTTGCTCAAAATGTGAGTTTGAAGAAGTTACGAGAGAGCCAAAACTATAGAGATGCTTTTGTTTTGTCTTCCCTCTTATGTGTGAATATGGGTAAGGATTCCGATATCAAAGTGAAGATCTTACTGTTTAAAATTTATATCAGAAAAAAAAAGGAAATGGGAAAATACGGTTTTAGCAATATAGAAAGGAAGCAAGCGATTAGTAGTGTCCTAATTCATTTTTGGGTAAAATATAGAAATGGTCCCCCAATTATAGAGTTATGCTTTGTTCAGTCCCTTAACTATTCATTATACTCTAAATTCATCATTTTCCATTAAAAAATTGATGGAAGTTTGAGTTAAACGTTAACTTGTTGACATCTCATAATCTCAAACGACTATAATCCCTCAGTTATCATGTTAACTTTCTGCTCAGACGATAATCAAATTTTAACGTAAAATGAAGAGTTTGGAACATAATGAATAGTTGAGTGATTATTTTGTAACTTTTAATAGTCGGGGGACTCAACAAAGTAACACTCTATACTCTAAATGATCATTTTGTAACTTTTAATAGTCAAGAAACTTAATAAAGTAGTACCTTATAGTTAGAGGGTCATTTATGTACTTTACTCTTTATCATTTTCCTATTAAAAATACGTAAGTTCAATTGCTTAGGCGAATGTGTTAACTCACGCTCAACGGGTCCCACAAGAAATGACAGTTAAAAGGGGTTTGATTGGGTGGTGTCTTGTGTGTTAGAGACTAGCGCGTGGAATAA